GACTAATCCTCACTTTTACATTTCATGAAGTTAGCCCTATGTCTGAAGTTTAGGCAAATTTGATTTTTTTTCTTCTAATATTTCTTATATTTCCACAACATCGCGTCTTGTACTAATTGTAAAAAGTATTCCTTTACTGATCGTACGATTACTAGATAAAAAAATTTAAAAAATGCATTTTAAAAGTTTATTATATTATTATAACATTTTTGTGTACATTTTGCCATTCACCGTTCAATACGACAGTCGACAATTGTATAATTATACCTATCGTATGATAAATAGTTTTGATTAATTACATTTTGATGATAATAATATCATAATATTATTCTCATCAATACATTTTTAAACACGCATTTCACACACAAATCGATTAGATAACCCACCATTCATTATTATTATTATTATTATTATTGTTTTATTAATTTATGACAATCTAAAACATTTCACAATTTATTTTACGACAAGCGTTTATTGTAGGCAGGTACAATAAATAATGTACAACTCTGATTTCAGAGGTTTATAAAGATCTAAAACATTATATTACTCAGTTTGTAAGTGTTATATTTATATAATGATATTGTGCAGCAGGTAGGTATCTACGCGTATAATAATTGCTAAATCTCGTTTACTCGAAAATTAATTCATGTGGAAACGTTTTAATTAAAACTGGCTCCAGTATATAGATATAAGTGGTGCAATGTTCGAAGAAAAAAATTACATATTATAATAAATAAAATTATGTACTCTGGGTTGTAATATTCATTTTAATAAGAAAATAAATAAATAAGCCTAGTTAGTTTTAAAATTTAAGGGGATAATAAGTTTTATAATACTAAACGTGACCTGTAACTGTTATATTACATGAAAACGCTTTTTTTTACCGGTAATTTCTATAAGTACCTACGGTATATATACTACCTATGAATAATAATTTACAAAAGTTCTTAAAAATAATTTACAAAAGTTCTTAAAAGTATTATTATTACTACTACTAAAGGCTGTTTAAGATCCGTTGGGCACCGGAATCCCAGACACTTTGTGATGTGCTACTTTCAACCCTTCTCACTGTACAAGTTATTTTTAAAGGTTGTATACATAATATTGTATGGGTGTCATTTATTTTAACTAATAAGACTAGCGAAATAATAATTATTTAATGCTTTATTATACGTATTTATAAATTATTTAAACAAAGCTATTACGTCATAATATAGTCGCTACGAGCACCGTAGTAACAAGTTGTATTTGTTAGCGCCAGACAGTATAAATGATGTATAACATAATATCTAATGTTGTTACCTCGCAGCGGAATGGGTCAAAAACACCCAAATATAAATTAATATTGAATAGGTATGTTAATGGTATTGGTTATTGAATATAATTTAATAATTACAAGGTAATACCATGCGCTTATTGTATTGAACTACATTGTCTACATAACTCCCATTTTCACTTATTTAGAAACTTTATTTTAACTGTTTTAACTTTTTAACAAACACCAATTTGTTGTAAATTTATAACTTTTCTTGATAAGAGGTTAACATATTTTATTTTATTTTTGAAATTGCTTTTCGAATGTGTAAGTTAAAAAAACATTTTGTAAAAAGAGATTGGCGCATAAAATCAATGGGCCCCGGGATCGTGCCCCCGACCCCTTAATCCTGGGTTTGCCGCTATCTATACTTCTACCACTCAACAATCTACAACAGACCTTGAGTTTTCAAATGATATTATTATATTATATTATTTCTGTTGTATGCACATATTTTAATGGTCGAATACTGTTATTACATTAGGTACGTGCAATTCTAGAGTGAATATTCAATGTTATAAAATAAAAATTAACATTTATAGAGATTGCAGAATGAAAAAATAACTATAAAAAGTACGTTGGTTCATAGGTACGACTCGAATTAGTTTAACCCATTGTGCAGTAGGATCATCCGACATTTTATGAACATCAAAATTATTATGTAAATGGAATCAAGTAATTTATTTATTTTTTTTTTTTATAGACACCTATTTATAACCCGATCGTCATAAATATATTATACCATTATTTACCGAAATTTAAAGCATTTTTAATGTTCATTTATTACCCGTTTTCGTGTCCATAAACAATAATAATTATTATTAAACGTTAATTAAATCGATTCAATTTTATAATGCGTTTTTTTCCTCACGTTCTCATTCCAATTACCTCCATTAAATCAATAATATATTACTCAAATATTTTTTAATCACTCAAAATCCGTATGTACACCGACCAACCAGTGTAGACTAAGATGTGAACTGTATTATTTTAAATCGACCAAGATGGCCTGACGTGATAATGACAGGTTTATTTTAAGTTATTTTAATATTTAAGGAAAATGAGAGTGTTTTATTGACTTGATATATCAGGGCATCAGTAGCGATGGACAATGATAAAATTAACAGCAAGACATAAATCGATGATAAAACATCATTTTTTTTTTTTAAGAATATTTTTTATTATAGTTTAGATACTGTTCGATACTATTTAAAAAAAAATAATATTAAATACATACTATAGTTTCATATAGCTTGTAATTTTCAATAGCAATCTTGATCTTTATCTATTTTTGCATAATATGACATGAAGGTGATACACGGGTGATTTTACTTGGGAGTCGTGAGATCAACCGTGGGGTGATTAGAATCGCTCTCTAAACCAATAATTAATTATTTTTAGCATTTCATATTACTCTCCCCTCCCAAAAAAAAACCGTAACGCTCAGTGACAGCGGCGAATATGTACAAACACTATACAAATTTAAAAATACAATAAACACACACGACTAATATAATAAAATATGACAAAAAACAATTATATTACTTAAAAATGTACCCGATCACCGACTAAACAAAAATATTATATCGATCATCGCATTCTTATAAATTGTATTATTATACGAAGCCGATCGAATAATAATAACACACAACAGCAACTACAACTGAGTGCCTATATTATACGAGTAGACACGTCAATGGGCGTTTTTCTTGTTGCACTATATTATAATATTATAGTTTCATCCGTCGGAACCATCGTATTATTGTTATTATTATTATACATGACGTATTGTGTACACCGAACTCTTCATACCGATGCGCGTTTTTCCCTCCACCGGCGCGGCGGCGGCGGCGACTGATCCCGTTCGAATGCCAAAGACCTATTTATTATTATTACCGTCGTCATAATAATTACCGCGCGCAGTCTAATATTTCTCGGCACTTGAAAATCGTCGATAATCTCGTTTTTACGCCTAACCGTCGTCGATGCTGCTGCAGCTTATACGTATACACACATATATATAATATAATATAATTTGTGTGTGTGCCAACCTGCTATTTACGCGGACAAATCCAGTTTTTTACTCATCGGACGTGTGCGTAGGTATATATAGTATAGGTACACAGGTCGTCGTCGTCGTCGCTGCGTGCCCGTGATGTGTAGACGACTTGCACAGCAGCAGCAACAGGTGTTCGACTTCTTTCCCCGCGTACGTCGTAATAACGTTATGTATATATGTACATATTGTTATGTATATGTAGTGTGTGCACTCCTCGACCACAACCCGCGTCGTGGTTATGTATCGCGGTCGCCGACCGGTTCGATCCGACGTGCCTGCCACCCGACGACGACCGCTACTCCACATTATTATTATTATTATTATTAATTCAGCGTTGAGCATATAGACGACTAAAATTTCGTTTAGCTATAACATCCGGATAAAGATAAATACATATTTTTACTTTTATAATCTGGATAACGTCATATATTATTAAAAAGTTAATCTCATTTTTATCTAGACAATAAGATAATATGGTAGATAAAATCAATTTTTTTATCAGAATTAAAATATACCATTTTAATTCAATAAGTGATGAAAATTACATTTGGACAGTCGAAAGTTTTGAGCTTTTACATTTTTGAAATTATTTAATTCATTATTTACAGGTACCTACATATTTTAATCTTAAATTAAATTGGCCGTTCTAAAAATCTCATTCGAACTATTTTAGATATCTTAATAAAATATCAAAATCCAAAATTCCTGTAATTATTCGAAATTGAATAACCCATCAATAATGATAAATGCCAGTAGTAAATCACCTGAATTCGGTGTACCTATATATCAAGACTTTTAAGAACTACTGATATTAAAATTACAAAACTTGAATAATTCGAAGAAATTTGTAATTAATAATTATTAACTGATTTTAACATTCATTTTTCTGTGGGGTTTTCTCTATACTTGTTTATTTATAAGGTAGTACAAAATACCTCAAATTGCATTTCAAAGTACTGACTATATTATTACGTTTTATTAAAATGCTAGTTTATAGGTAAATTTAACCTTAAATTAAATTGATTTTTCTAAAAATCCCAAATGAACTATATTTTAGATATTTCAATAAGTCATCAAATCCTAAAATTCCTAAAATTATTCGAAATTGAATAATCTGTCAATGTCGGTAGTAAATCACTCGAATTCGGTGTAAACGTCAAGACTTTTAAGAACTGTTAATTTTAAAATTATACAACTCAAATTTGACGAATTTGTGGTTTAACCGATTGCAATGAGTTTTAACATGATTTGTCTGTGGATTTCTCTCGATACGTGTTTATTTAAAAGTAATACAACATTCCTGAAATTTCGTTTCAAAAGTGCCTACTATAATATTATGATGTTCCCTGAATAATTATTGTTGTCTAGATAAAGTAATACAAACGAGTAACTATTTAAAATGAGTCTAAATACAGCAAATTACCTACAATATAATAATAATTATTATATGCCATAAGCGGTATATACACTATATTATAAATACGTCTATACCTCACATTTATATTGCTCGTGTTGGCCAGCCTTATCGTTGTTATTGCTTATCAATGTTATTATATTATTGTTTCTCCTGTTGTCTTTGTTGTTGTTATATGATTATCGTGTTTATTGTTTTGATCGTCACACCAGGCGAATACAACTTGAAACTGAATCCCGTGACTCTGGACGACGACGGCGTGTACCAGTGCCAGGTGGGCACGGGAAAGCGCGACGAACCTGCCATCAGGTCCAGGAAAGCGACGCTGACCGTCCTGGTGCCGCCCAACCGTCCGCGAATCACGCAGGGTGACAAGATCTACATAACGGAAAACTCGCCGATCGAACTGGAGTGCATATCTGAAGGTGGCAAACCGGAAGCAGAGGTGAGTGCTGCAGCTTTTCACGTATTCCAATATTTATTTATTTTTAATATTATCGCGACCCCGACTGTTCATTATACTACTATTGTATATAATAGCTATAATTATACGATATTATGACCCGCGCACTATTCAGGTTCATGAGTGAAATTAGGGGGGGGGTGGAGTTGGGTGGGCTTAGAACCACAGTTATTAATCATATTATTTTAGTTTAAAATATCAATTATTAGAGTCTGTACTGCTGATACAATTCTAGTGACAGCACCCCTAGAAAAATTTCCTCAGTTAGGCCTATCGTCACGTTGTCGATAGTTTTGATAGTTTCAGCATAATATGAAAATTATATGATGATAAATTGTGGTCGAACGCCAAATTTTCAATTTTATTGTTTTATTGAATTTTTTCCAGGGATTTGATGTAGGAAATTTATGTATATGTATATATGTATTTTATTTTAAATGCAGTGGTTCAAAATGTATTACATAACATCAAATACCAAAATAATATAATCGTCGTGTAATAATTTTAATAATATATACAGAACATTGTTATACGTAATATAGAAAACTTATATACTTTAACTTGATTATGCAGCCTATATACTGCTAGATTTCAGAGCTAATATGGAATATAATTTATAGAAAATGACACATCCGTTTTTGAATATATTATTTTATTTTACAATTTGAGGTACGATAAATCATCTGTTTTTGGTGAATGGATATAGTTGAAAACCTCGTCACTTATTGTTACCTACTTATAGGCATTCATGAAATGCTGTGCATACTTCATATAAAAAGTATTAGACATATTATATGAACAAAAGTATTAGACCAGAGTTTTATGATACGGTTTTTTAAATCATAATGGGAACCAATAATACATATAATTCGTTCGTCGATCTTTATGGGACCAATATTAATTGGTTGTAGTCAATATTTTTATTACTGTATCGTAATATTATGTATATATTATTATTGTTATTATTATTATGAGGCCCGTCGTATTCTACCGCCGACTCAGAGGTGGCGTGTTATGATAATGACATTTTCACGATCATATTATTCAATTATTAATATTATTTATGACGTATAATAATGTAATAGGCATGTAAAGTACCGCAGTATAAGTCGGACAGATCAATCGAGTTGATATAGAATTCTCATAAAATATTTTAGACGGGTGACTATATATTATACCTATATTATGTATCATACGATAATATACGATATTATCAACTTATAATATTATATAGGTATTATATTATTATTATTTATGACGGCTCTCGATATATTATTTCGTCACGCGCGTCGTCCGAGGTCCGACAGTTTTTAAACATTCCCACTCGAGAGTCCAGACAATAATATTTACCATTGTTGTCATACTGTATATTTTATGGGATTGTAAAACATCAGTGTTTTGACGTCGTGGCGAGTATAATATATACAGGGTGGTGATTAACCTAACATGCTCACCTATAGTCAAATAACGAACTTGTTCAAATTCTGATATTTTAGCATCTATAAGTATATAGGTGCACTCATCGAAGACGTATTTGCAAATACTTGGATTTGTCACACAATCAAAGGATTATCCTCGTCATTAACATATTGAAATAATTTATCTCTCTAAAAATCGATTTTGTATTAATGGAATATATTTACATTTGAACAACAAAGTAATTTGTATCGTCATAGCCCACAGGTCTCTCTTGAGGCACTATGCCTATAGATTGCATATTATTAACAATATTATAAGAATTGGATGGTCCTTAAAGAATATTCTTAAAAATTACAAGATCAGAATACCTAATAATTGTAATAAATTAATTATTACAAATCGGATAAAAATGGGGTGTGCATGTTCGGCGAAACACACTGTATTGCTATATAGGATGTATGCGTATACAAAAACATTATAACATAACAGGTGCGTGATCTCGCCGATCGAAATCAGTATCTATATAATATATGTTAGGTATATCGTAATAATAATAATAATAATATATAATATTTCGTGTGTATTTGACTCTCGTGTATTATATATTTTTTATTATTGATATTATTTTCCCTGCGCGCGTGTAAGTAGACACAACGACCTAATTTATATCTCATTCACTCGTACACGCGTATACATATAGATAAATCCATCCGTCATTAATAAAAGTGGGCTGTCAAGACCGATAGAATTTTCGGAATTATATACCTCCCGTCGATGATTACACATGGCAAAGTTACAAGTGGGAGGTTCTGTATGACTGTATATTATTGTGTGTTTGATAGTGAGAAAATTACAGACTTGCTGCAGCTGTAGGTTTCTCGGCGGCTGCGGTGCAAACCCCTACGGGAATCGATGGCATATCTCATTCATGTGTATTGATACAATAATAATATTGTTATTGTGTTTTATTCTAAACGAGTAGGTACATATTATGGTAATACACATATATTTACGTACACAAGGTGATTATTTTTAAGGTAAACAATAATTTTCTCTGAAAGTATTGACGTTTTTGAAAATATATTTTTCTTGAGGTCATTACAAAACCACATTTAAAAAAAAATTTAATTTTCGGGTATTTGACTAGTTAGACGTTGTAAGTATTTATTTACTATAGTTACTCATTCTAAGTTCGTATTAAAATTGTAGCCCGAAAAATATTATTCATAAGAAAAATTTATGTTGTTATTTATAAAAAAAAAAAATTTAAAACTTGTTTAATAATGACCTCTATTATGCAGTTTTAAAAAATATTTTCAAAACATTCATATTTTCGAGACACCGAGCAGTATTTAACTTTTAAAGAATAATCACCCTGTATAAATGTTTGCTATTAAATGTGTACCTACCTACACAATGTCAGACTCAGTTGTTTATGCGTTTCCTTCAGTGGGGTGGAGAGTTATGATTTTTGTATGGACGGTCCCTCTCGACGCTTCACGTCAATCTGCAACTTCTTGATTCTTTTGAATATTAATATCGTTTAATAGTTTATTTTAATTTAGAAATAATAATAACAATAATTAAGACAAGCATATATCACTGTGCAATGCAATTGCGTTAGAATCGAGAATATAGTACGATGGAACTCTTATAATATTAGTAATGTATAGTTAGAAAATTTTTCGTTGAATAAATAATATTGTAGATCTTTCCGATATAGAACCACTCACAAATGTTTCGTTTTATGAAATTTATTTTGAGTACGCAATGTCATAAAAATAAAAATACGTATTAGGATGTATACATTTACGTGGCGAAATTTATTGTTCCGATTAGTTTTTTTGTACTGTAATCGCGGTTTTGGAATAATTCATAACCAACTTATAGTACCCGTGGCATCATATATCGTTTTTGAAGGGGGGATATTTATTATAAATATAATAATACAATGATATTGGTATCTGTATTAAGGTACAATAATTTTTTACTTGTGTATCAAAGACTCGGAAATAAGAATTTCAAACTTGTATAATTTAGAGGTATTATATAGATATATAAGCGCGGAGTTCGGCAAATAAGAGTGTAGTTTGTGCGTATATATAGGAATGGTGCAGGTTTAACGGATGAAAAAAAATTGATTCGCTTACCGAGTGAGACATATATATATTTATAAAAAGGGTAAAAATTGGAAGCGTGAGAAAACGTCGTTTGTCGCTTGTAAGTCTATACACACACACACACACACACACACACACACACACACACTCACACACACACACACACTCACACACACAAATGGCAAAGTGAATTTATTTATTCGACGGCGCCGCTGAGTATATTATACCCGTTTCTGTATGTATAATGACGTAATGTTTGTTGGCAGTCCTTTTATTTTAAATCGCAATGCATACGGAATTTAACAGAGTTGACAACGACACTGTGTATAAAAATAATAATAATAATAGCGACTGAAGCCATCCACTGAGGCTGAGCATAATGTTATTATTATAATATTATAAAGTCGTCTGTCGCCCGTGCTAATGGACAGTATCCATACAAGATACGTATCTTATTGGATACATCAATATCGAATCTTGTAACTTGTATCGTTGGACATTTATTTACTGTTAATTGTGTATCGATACTTCCTATCAAATGTATATTTAGGGACTTTTATTTATTTGGTGTAGGTAACCTATTTATTGTAATATCATGTGATTTTTATATTACCTTCATCAGTGTAAGATATTGTGCGGATTCGAATGCGAAGACATTATTTTTATCGGAAACTAACTAAAACCAATTAATAATTTATTCAAATACGTTTCTTTTTAATTATTTGTCTCGTGTTTTTTCCACTTAGCTGATTGGCCAATCACTAAGTTAATATCGTGAAACAAGTTTAAAAAAGACACTGCGCACTTTGCTGTGTGTATTATTTGACGCACAAATGATTTTTCAATTTTTTTACAAAAAGATACCATTTTATTATTGAATACTAATAATGATGTGGGTAGGCCTTTATAGGTATAGATCATTCTTTTTACAACCAGTACTTCAGGCAAATATTGTTATGGTCATTCGTCCCTATACGTAATATATATTATAGTAATAGAATGCGTATTAATATTACGTATAATAAGTACCTAAATAATATATTATGTACCTTCAAAGTTAAATATAATTTATTATTATAATGTTGAGGTATTTTAAACTTTAGCAATATTTTACTCCCTAAATAAACTACATGTTTAAATAAAATGCACCTTTTATCTTTGATACAATAATATCCAATATCTTTTCGAAAACGTTAAATGACGTACTTTGAGGTAAAATATATTATATTTTAAGTCGTATCTTGAAACTTTTCAGTTTTTTCCAACCTGTGACTTGTTCGTTCCCCACGTATATATAATAAATACGCTACGGTATTATTTTAACTACGGACGGTTGAAATGTGAGTACATAACAATAATATTAAGAAAAATATCACTATCGATTACAATTACAGCGCGACAGACGACTTTGCGCGTGTTTACCTACATCATCATTATCACCAT